AGGTTGATTTCAAATGTTCCCTAACTGAATCTTGATTTTTTTTTTCTCTTCATATTTATTATACTGATGATTTGTATTGTCTATATTGGTTGTTTACCTCCGTAGGATGATGTTATGTCTTCATTTTTTTGCTTTTCTTCGGATTGACCTACCTCTCCTCATGCTGATTTCATATGCTCTATAAGTGAATCTTCACTTTTTTCCTCATGTATTTATTATGGTAATGATCTGTAGAATGCATGTTGGTTATTTTTTTTGGGTTCGTTTGGTTGGAGGATTCAAATCATGTGATTCGAATTATTTTCGATTTACATGTATTTTTTTGTGAGAGAAAATACTGTAACGAACCACGAATCATGATTCAAATCAGAGAACGAATTTCTCTACCAAACGCCTCCTTATTTCGTATGTTGATAGTCTGTACTAAATCTTTTGCAGAGGTATTAAATGATTTTTTTGCTCTTTTTAACTTCATTATTTTAGGTGTAAAAAAAATATGTGGAGAAAAAATTTTTAGAACTTTTTTATTTTTCTATTATTTTTTCCTTTGCTGTTTCTGTGAGATGGCTATTATCTTATCTAATTTTTTCTTTTCCTTCCCTTTTACTGTAACAGTATACCATATTTATCATTTGATTAAAGAATTTGAGTAATTCAGTTCTTGTAAATTAATATTGGCCCGTTGTATGTGTAACATTGTAATAGGTTGTGTACTGTTCATTTGCTGCCCTTTATTTTTCATCCATAATTATTATTGTAACCTGTCCAATTCTTTTACATAATTCTGTCCTTCTCTTTTTCTTGCCTGACCTATCTCTTTTATATGGTCTATCATAAACCATTCACTGTTCTATTACATTCTCTATCATTTATTGCTCCACACGTTTGATCGTTTACTGCTTTGTTAAGTTATGCATCATTTAAACAAATATATGTATACATATCTGTATGTACATGTATAAACCTTTTTAATAGATCTTTAAACAAATATATATATGTATGTATGTACATATAAATTAATACTGTAGTACAAAAATTCCTGACTTATTTTATAATATAACAATTTTTTCCGCAGCAACGCGCGGAAAAAAAAACTAATATATACATATAATAATGGAAAAAAATCCCTAATCCAACTAATTGACTACTGACGCAGCTTAAAGTTTCTTGTTAGGGAAAATTACAGAAACATTTTTCACCACCTAATTGCTTCCTTCTTTCTTTTGCAGGTTCTTTATTTCTTTTTTTTTTTCCCCTTTAAGAGGCAAATGCCACCTAATAAATATTTATCTTATAACGTACACGATCAGAAATAATGACCCTCATTTGGAAAGGGTAAGGACAGAAATAAGAACGGTATAATTTATCAAGAAAATCTCTTTAAAACAAGAAATTAAGCAAATCAAGGAGAAAAGTCATTTAATTACGTACTCGATAACCAATAGGACAGCCCATCTTTTATGTCTTACTTCTATTAGCATATCTCTATATTTCTGCAACGGCAACATACTTTGTACACGTAATTTATGTATTTCCATATCTCACAAACCTCTAACAAAACAAATTGTTTTGTACAGGTAATATACAATTAATTGATATAGATAGATTAGAAGATAATTAAGATAATATGGTCTAAAGTAAGGACAAATCTCATAATAATAGTTCCCAAATTTTAAATTATAAATCCCACTTTAGTCATTAGCCTCAAAATTGACCTCGAGCTATCTTGGTGTGACAATGTAAGTCTTTTTGTCAGGAAAAATGAATGAGAAACGACACTACAGTTGTGCATAGGCTTAGTTTGGTATTACTGTAGATTTTGAAAAAATTACTTTTAACTATGCTGAAAGAAAAAATAGTTGTTACAAAAAGCAACTAAGTGTTTGGTAAACTATAATTATAGTAAGTGTGTTGGTTTCAAAATTAGTGCAATAGCGTTTGATAAATTATGAGGTTAAATTGCTGTGTATAATTAAAAATTACGACTATATTATATTATATTATAATATAATATATATTTATTATTATATTTAATATAATAAAAATTATTATTATATAATATATTATATAATTATTATATAGAATATAATAATATTATTAAAATAATAACTGAAATAATTAAAAATAAATATTATATTATATTATACTATACTATAATATATATAATTACAATATAATGTATATTTATTATTATATTTAATATAATACAATAGAACTATTATTAAATAACATATTATATATATAACTATGATATATAATATAATAATATTATTAAAATGGTTAATATAATTACAATATTATAAAACATATTATAATATTACATAAGAAATATTAATATTTCAATTATAATATAATTAAAAATTACAACTATATTATAATATAATATATAATA